AGAGGGGACAGGGGACAACCAAGTGCTGCTGTTAATACAAATCGAGGATTGCTGCTGCTGTAAGGAGACACAAGACACACAGACACGTAAATACACAAATAAATAAATAAATAAATAAATAAATAAATAAATAAATAAATAAATAAGTAAATACACAAATAAATAAATAAATAAATAAAATAAATAAATAAATAAATAAATAAATAAATAAATATATGATATAAAAAAGACACAAAAAGGGACAAAAGGAGACAAAAAAGGAGACACTTTTATCTATTTATTTAATAAATAAATAAATAAATAAATAAATAAATTAATTAATTAATTAATTAATTATTTACTGGTTAATTAATGCATTAATTTCTATGGCGAGTCTCTCTTTGTCTCCTTTTATTTCTTTATTTTTTTTATTTATTTTTTTATTATTTTTTTTATTTATTTCTTTTTTTTTATTTATTTCTTCTTTTTTTTTATTTGTTTCTTTTTGTCCTTTTCTTTCTTCTTCTTCTTCTCCTCCTCTTTCTGTATCTGTATCTTGTTTGCTGCTGCTGCTGCTGCTGCTGCTGTTGCTGCTGTTGCTGCTGCTGTTGCTGCTCTTGTCGGTTTGCTGCAGCAGCAGCAGTCCCCTTTTGTCTTCTTGCTGCAGCAGCAGTGTCTCTGTCTCTTCTTGCTGCTGCAGCAGCAGTGTCTCCTTGTCTCCTTGCTGCAGCAGCAGTGTCTCCTTGTCTCCTTTTATTTCTTTTTGTCTCCTTTCTCTTCCTTTCTTGTATATACGTATATTTATTATACAAGGACGGGCCCACAGCTGATCTGCTGCTCTCTTGCTGCAGCTGCTGCTGCTCCTGCTGCTGCTGCTGCTGCTGCTGCTGCTAGCAAACAGACCGTCGTCATCTGAGCTACTTGCAGCCACCCAAGGATCAAAGCCATCATCAGACACCTCAACACCCTCAGCTGCAGCAGCAGCAGCAGCAGCAGCTGCTGCTGCTGCTGCTGTTGCTGCTGCTGCTGCCGCTGCTGCGGCTGGGGAGGTACCTGCTGTTGCTCCTCCCCCTTCTGCTGCCGCTGCTGCTGCTGCTGCTGCTGCAACAAACCCTAAGTCACAGACAAGCAGAGAAACACGCCATTGGCTGCAGCTTGTCTCCTTTTCTATCTCCTGCAGCTCACGAAGGAGAGGGGCCCCCCCTTGTATATCAGGGAGCCCCTCTTGGGGGCCCCCGGGGGCCCCTTCCAGGGGGTCCCCTGGGGGCCCTTCCAGGGGCCCCCCAGGAGACCTTTCCTGGTGGCTCCTGGGAGGCTCCTCTTGAAAGCAACTGCTGGGGACCCCGTGGGGGCCCCTGGGGGGCCCCTCATGGGGGATCCCCGGTGGCCTGTGTGGAGGGCCCCCGGGGGGCCCTTGAAGGGGGCCCCCCTCTATGTTCTGTGGAGAGCCTCGTGGGGGGGCCCCCTGCCTCATCCTGAGGCTGGGATCGGATCCCAGCTACTCAGGGGCCCCACACTGAGGCGCGGTGGGCCCGTAGCATGCGGCCCTTGCCCTTCATAGATTGCTGCTGCTGCTGCTGCTGCTGCTGCTGGTACTAGCTGCTATTGCTGCTGCTGCTGCGGGTGCTGTTGCCCTTATGAGGGGTTGGCTGAGGCATAGAGTTTTGCTTATTGATATGCAAAGGAGCAGATTAAGGGATTTCATGAGGGTTTAGGGTTTAGGGTTTAGGGTGGAGGGGCCCCCTCTTCCTAGTTGGCTGCTACAGGGAAAGAAAAGAAAGAAAAAAGGGTTTGTTGTTAAAAAGAAATATATACAAAAAGGGTTTTATTAGGGTTTAGCACACAAGGAGGCGCGGGCTTAAATAGGGTTTAGGGTCTAGGGTTTAGGGTTTAGGGTTTGCGTCAGTGTCATTTTTGTTGGCTGCACTGCGCATGCGCTCCTCAGGGTTTATTTTTCCCTTTTCTCCCTAAATAAACATTATTAATTGTAAATAAATAAATAAAATAATTAATTAATTAATTAATTAATTAATTTATTTATTTATTTTTATTATATTTGTTTATGTATTGCGGTGTTTAGCGTTGCTTTCCCCCGTCGGGTGTATGCGGAGTGAGTGAGCGGTTCGCTCTAGGGTTTAGGGTTTAGGGTTTAGGGTTAACAAGGATAATAATAAATAAGTAAATAAATAACAAATAAATAAATAAGAATATTTAAATATAAATACTTATTTAATTTATATTCTTTTTTCTTATTTCTTTTTTTATTTTATTTTATTTATTACAATAAAAGGGAGAAAAGGAGAAAAAAAAAAAAAAGAAGAAAGAGGTGCCTATACACCCGAAGAAGAAAACAAATAAAAATAAAAAGGAAAAGAATAAATAAATAAATAAAAATAAATAAACAAAACATAAAAAAGCGATAAAAGGGGGAGAAAAAAGGTAATAAAAAAGAAAAAAGAAATAAAAAAAAAATAAAAAAAAAGAGAAAAAGACACAATAAGGAGATAAAAGGAGACAAAAAAGAGACAAAAAAAAGATAAAAGGGACAAAAAAGAAGCAAAAAAAAACAAAAAAAAAGAGACAAAAAAGGAAACAAAAAAGAAATAAAAAGGAGGCAATAAGGAGATAAAAAAGGGACAAAAAAGGAGATATATAGGGATAAATATACAAAGAAAAATAAATAAATAAATAAATAAATAAATAAAATATTTTATTTTTAGGGTTAGGGTAGAGAATGTAAAGAACAACATTCCCTATCGAGGGTTTAGGGTTTAGGGTTTAGGGTTTAGCATATCAAGAAGTTCTTCTCATCCATACACAACAACCTAGGGTTTAGGGTTTAGGGTTTAGGGTTTAGGGTTTACAGAAGGAAGGCAGTTGAAGAAATTGGTGTTTCCCTTAACAAGATTTTTCTACTAAAGAGCAGCCTGTAAACCCTAAACCCTAAACCCTAATGGTCCTACGTCTGTCTAGCAGTGTCTAGCTGTAGCTAGCTACAAAAGCTGCAACCTTGGTGAAGTGTGTATTTAGGGTTTAGGGTTTAGGGTTTAGGGTTTGGGGCTTTATTTCTATAACAATTGTATTTTATCTCCTTTCTTATCTCTAAGGGGACAAAACAATAAAAAGATTGTCTCTTCTTTTTATTTCTTCTTGTCTTTTGCTAATAAACAATAAAATGTTTAGGGTTTAGGGTTTAGGGTTTAGGATTTAGGGTTTATTGCTCACCAGAGTCCTGGTAGCAGATAATATGTTCTTTTTTCTACTTAGGGTTTAGGGTTTAGGGTTTAGGGTTTAGGGTTTAGGGTCTGGATTCTAAGCCTAAAGCACTCCTTCCTTTTGTCTTCTTATACCAAAAAGAAACAGAAAACACTAAATTAGGGTTTCCCCTCCTCTGTCTTGCCATTGGTGGTTTAGTGTCTAGGGTTTAGGGTTTAGGGTTTAGGGTTTGGGGTTTTGGGCTTTCTATAAGCAACAACAGCACAACACGAAACCCTCGCCTTGTACTAGAGAGTTTTTATTGTATAATGAAGAACTAGGGTTTAGGGTTTAGGGTTTAGGGTTTAGGGTTTTATTTCTATCACAGTTGTTCTGCCGGCCTCTAGTCTGTCTTATTGGGGTGTATAGGCACCGTCTTGCTGTCTTTATTGCTTCTTCCCTTTTCTTGTTTATTTTTATTATTTATTTTCTTCTTTATAATAAAATAAACCCTAAAAAGGTGTTTATGGTTCCTTTTTCTGCCTTAAACCCTTCAGGGAAAAGGGTTTAGGGTTTAGGGTTTAGGGTTTATGACCGGGAGCGAGCGGCGGTTCCTGCTGCTGCCAACAAGAAAGAGAAGAAAAGGAGGATAAAAGAGTAAATAAAATGAATAAAATAAATAAGTAAGTAAATTTATATTTAATTATTTAATTATTTATTTATTTATTTATTTAATTAATTAAAAAAAGAAGACGTTCTTCTTCCTACAGGGCGGCGGTGGTCGGTGATCGGTCTTCGGGTGTACAGGCAGCTCAATCAGCAGCAGAAGAAGCAGCAGCAGCAGCAGCAACAGCAGCAAATAAATAACCTTTTAATACCTTTTCTTTTATTCTTTTATTCTTTTTTATTTACTTTTATTTATTTTTATTCTTTTTTTATTTATTTTATTCTTTTTATAGGCAGGAGGACAACGTATAGATATATCTATACAGGTAAATAAATAAATAAATAGGCCTTATATATAAGGATCTATTTATTTATTATATTTATATTTATTTATTTATTTGTTTGTTTATGTTTATTTATTTATTTATTTATTAGTGTAGTGTATCCTTTTTATTTATTTATTTATTTATTTCTTTTTTATAGAAATAAAAACTTTTATTAGATGAATAAATGCATTTATATGTTCTAAACCCTAGGTCTAAATTAGGGTTTAGGGTTTAGGGTTTAGGGTTTAGGGTTTTCTTTATAGACAACCTTCAAAGTTTATTTAATTATTCCTTCCTTTCTCCAATGCAGTTACCTTTAACTCTGCTGCTGCTTGCCCCTGCAGCAGCAGCAGCAGCAGCAGGAGAATCAGCAGCAGGTTCACCAGGTGCAGCAGAAGCAGCAGCAGCAGCAGCAGCAGCAGCAGCAGCAGGAAATGAAAGTTCAATAGGATCAGCAGCAGACGCATTTCTTGGTTCCCCCTCAAGGGAATTAGGTACACCAAGTAAGAAATATAATTCTGCTGCTGCTGCTGCTGCTGCTGCTGCTGCTGCTGCTGAGGAAGAGGAGATAGATCCTCGTGAGTTTATGGAGGTTATATACTTAGATGCAGCAGCAAAAGAGGTGCAGGATCTGCAGCAGCAGGAGTTGCTGCAGCAGGAGATGCAGCAGCAAATACAGCAGCAGGAGCAGCAGCAAAGAAAAAATAAAATTATAAATACTATTAAGAAAACAACACAGGGTGTATCTGCTGCTGTTATTTTGCTGCTGCTGCTGCGCTTTGCTGCTACTGCAGCAGCAGCAGCAGGACTGAAGCAGACAAAGCAACCACTGCAGCAGCAGCTGCAGCCGCAAAAAGATACAGCAACAGCAGCAGCAGCAGGAGCAGCAGGAGAAGAAGAGACACCTATATCTAAACAGGAGAAGCCTATAGATAAAAAGGAGACAAAAAAAGAAGAAAAAAAAGAAGAAAAAAAGGAGACAATTGTCTCCTCTATAGAGGAGACACTCTTATCTGACGAGGAGACACTTATAGATAAAGAGGAGACAATAATTATAAATAAAAAGGAGACAGGGAAGGAGACAGGGGAGGAGACAGGGAGGGAGACAGGGAGGGAGACAGAGGAGGAGACAGGGAAGGAGACAGGGAAGGAGACAGGAAAGGAGGCAGGGAAGGAGACAGGGAAGGAGACAGGGAGGGAGACACCTTTATCTATAGAGGAGGCAATAAATGCATTAAAGGAGACAATTTTATTTAATAAAGAAAAAGATATAAATAATAAAAAGGAGACACCTTCCTTAGAGGAGGAAGAGGAAGAGGAGAAGGAGGAGGAGGAGGAGGAGGAAGGAGGAGAAGGAGAAGGAGGAGAAGAAGAAGAGGAGGAAGAAGAAAAGGAGACACCTATATATAAAGAAAAGGAGACACCAAGAATAAGGGAAAGAATTATAGGAGAAAAGGAGGTAGTAATAGAGGGACAGACTAAGCCTATAATAATAAAAGAAATAATGTATTTATCTAGTAAGGAGGAAGAAGAAGAAGAAGAAGAAGAAGGAGGAGGAGGAGGAGGAGGGGAGGAGGAGGAGACACTAGATAAGGAGACACTTACTTATAAGGAAGAAGATGATGATGTTTTCTTACCTACAGAGGAGATACTAACAAGAGAAGAAAGAGAAGAATTATTTAATAAAAAAAAAGAATTAATTAATAAAAAAAAAAAAGAAATAAATAATAAACAAAAGGATATACTTATTAATAAACAAGAAAAGGAGACAATAGAGGAAAAAATAGGAGAAAAGGAGACACTTTTACCTACAAAGGAGACACTTGTACAAGAAAAGGAGACAGTTATACAAGAAAAGGAGACACCTATGCAAGAAAAGGAGACAGTTATACAAGAAGAGGAGACAGTTGTACAAGAAGAGGAGACAGTTGTACAGGAGGCATCTATACAAGAAAAGGAGACACCTATACAAGAAAAGGAGTCACCTGTACAAGAAAAGGAGACACCTGTACAAGAAAAGGAGACACCTATACAAGAAGAGGAGACACCTGTACAAGAAAAGGAGACACCTGTACAAGAAGAGGAGACACCTATACAAGAAGAGGAGACAGTTATACAAGAAGAGGAGACAGTTGTACAAGAAAAGGAGACAGATATAGAAGAAAAGGAGACACCTATACAAGAGGAGGAGAGAGTTATAGAAGAAAAGGAGACACCTACACAAGAGGAGGAGACAGTTATACAAGAGGAGGAGAGAGTTATACAAGAAAAGGAGACAATTTATCCCCCTATAGAGGAGACAATTGTATATGAAGAAAAGGAGACAATTTATCCCCCTGTAAAGGAGACAGTTGTACATAAAAAGGAGACACTTTATCCTCCTATACAAGAGACATATATATATACAGATAGGGAGACACCTGTCCCTATAGAGGATATACCTATAGAAGAAAAGGAGACACATATAGACGGAGAGGAGGAGACAGTTGTCTCCTCTATAGAGGAGGAGACACCCTTATATAACCACAAAGGAGACACAGACGAAGAAGAGGAGACAAGTGTCTCCTCTATAGAGGAGGAGACACCTATACAAGAAAAGGAGACACCTATACAAGAAAAGGAGACACCTATACAAGAAGAGGAGACAGTTGTACAAGAGGAGGAGACACGTATAGAAGAAAAGGAGAAAGAAAAGGAGACAGTTGTGTCCTCTGATGAGGAGACAGGTGCCTCCTCTGAATTAGAGGAAGTGTCTCCTTTAGAGGGTAAAGAATTTCTTTATGAATTTGCTGTCCCTTCCCCTGTCTCCTCTTCTGTCTCCTCCTCCCTTTCCTCTTCCCTCTCCTCTTCTGTCTCCTCCTCCCTCTCCTCCTCTCTCTCCTCTTCTCTCTCTCCTTCTGTCTCCTCTTCTCTCTCCCCATCCTCTGATGAGGAGACATCCTTAGGGGAAGAGGAGACACCTTCTAGGGCACAGGAGACACTTGCAAGGGGAGAGGAGACAGTCTCCCCCCCTACACAGGAGACAGTCTCCTCCCCTACACAGGAGACAATCTTACCTATAGAGGAGCCAGTCTCCTCCCCTACACAGGAGACATTCTCCTCCCCTACAGAGGAGACAGTCTCCACCCCTACACAGGAGACAGCCTCCTCCCCTACAGAGGAGACAGCCTCCTCCACTGCAGGGGAGACAGCCTCCCCCACAGAGGAGACAGCCGTACCTACAGAGGAGACACCCCTAAAGGTAGAGGAGACAGTCTCTTCCTCTACAGAGGAGACACCCCTAAAGGAAGAGGAGACAGTCTCCCCTAGACAGGAGACAGTCGTACAAGGAGAGGAGACAGTCTCCCCTACAGGGGAGACTGTCGTAACTCAAGAGGAGACACCTTTAACAGGAGAGGAGACAGTCTCCCCTAAGGAGGAGACAGTCTCCCCTACAGAGGAGACAGTCTTACCTACAGAGGAGACAGTCTCCCCTACAGAGGAGACAGAAGTCCCTCAAGAGGAGACACCTTTACAAAGGGAGGAGACAGTCGTAAAAGGAGAGGAGACAGTCGTAAAAGGAGAGGAGACAGTCTCCCCTATTAAGGAGGAGACACTTTTATCTAAGGAGGAGGAGACAGTAGTACAAGGAGGGGAGACGGATGTGCATAAAGAGGAAACAGGTGTCTCCTCTATAGAGGAGACAGTCCCCTTACCTACAGAGGAGACAGTCCCCGTACCTACAGAGGAGACAGCCTCCTTACCTACAGGGGAGACAGTCCCCTTACCTACAGAGGAGACAGCCTCCTTACCTACAGAGGAGACAGTCCCCTTACCTGATAAGGAGACACCCTTACCTACGGAGGAGACAAAGGAGGAGACAGAAGAGGAGACAACTATAAGAAAGGAGGAGACACCTATAGAAGGAGAGGAGACAACTGTAAGAGAAGAGGAGACACCTATAAGAAAAGAGGAGACACATACAACAGAAGAGGAGACAGTCTTACCTACAGAGGAGACAAGTGTCCCCTCTACAGAGGAGACAGTCTTACAAGAAAAGGAGACACCTATAACTAAGGAGGAGACACCCTTAAAGGAAGAGGAGACAGTCTCCCCTACAAAGGAGACAGTCTCCCCTGCTGAGGAGACAGTATCCCCTACAGAGGAGGCAGTGTCCCCTACAGAGGAGACAGTATCCCCTACAGAGGAGACAGTATCCCCTACAGAGGAGACAGTCGTACCTACAGAGGAGACAGTCTCCCCTGTAGAGGAGACACCTATACAAGGAGAGGAGACACCTATAAAGGAAGAGGAGACACATACAAAGGAAGAGGAGACACCTAAGACAGAAGAGGAGAGAGGTACAAAAGAAGAGGAGACACCTATAAAGGAAGAGGAGACAAGTGTCCCCTCTACAGAGGAGACACCTTTAGCTAAGGAGGAGGCACCTGTACAAAAAGAGGAGACACCTATGCAAGGGGAGGAGACAGCTGTAACAGGAGAGGAGACAGTCTCCCCTACAGAGGAGACACCTCTTGTACAAGGAGAGGAGACACATAAAGAAGAGGAGACAGTTGTACAAGAAGAGGAGACACCTGTACAAGAAAAGGAGACACCTGTACAAGAAAAGGAGACACCTGTACAAGAAAAGGAGACAGTTGTACAAGAAAAGGAGACAGTTGTACAAGAAAAGGAGACACCTGAACAAGAAGAGGAGACACCTGAACAAGAAGAGGAGACAGTTGTACAAGAAGAGGAGACACCTGAACAAGAAGAGGAGACACCTGTACAAGAAAAGGAGACAATTGTACAAGAGGAGGAGACACCTGAACAAGAAGAGGAGACAATTGTACAAGAAGAGGAGACACCTAAAGAAGAAGAAGGTATAGTTGCCTCCTTTTTTAGTAAGACTGTCTCCTCCCTAGTGGGGGCATTATTCTCTCGTAAGGAGACACCTATACAAGAAAAGGAGACACCTAAGGAAGAAAAGGAGACACCTAAGGAAGAAAAGGAGACACCTAAGGAAGAAAAGGAGACAGTCCCCTCTATAGAGGAGGAGACAAGAGAGGAGACATTTTTATCTAAGAGGGAGACACCTATAAAGGAAGAGGAGACAACTGTCTCCTCTGCAGAGGAGGAGGCACCTATACAAGAAAAGGAGATACCTGTACAAGAAAAGGAGGAGACAGTCTCCTCTACAGAGGAGACACCTCAGCAAGAAGAGGAGACAGTTATGCAGGAAGAGGACATACCTGAGGACGGTTTGCGTTTCTTGTTCAGGGGTAGCTCCGTTTAAATGGAAGTAACTGCAGCAGCAGCAGCAGCAGCAGCAGCAGCAGCAGCAGCAGCAGCAGCAAATGCAGCAAGAGAGATTGTAGAGAAGACAAAGGAGACAAAAGAAGAAGAAGGAAAGAAGGGAGGAGACAACAAGAGAAAAGGAGACACATAAAAAGGAGACATTTATGCTAGAGGGACTTGTCTATCTACATCTGCTTCTTTTGCTGCTGCTGCTGCTGCAGCAGCAGCAGCAGCAGAAGCACAGGTATCTACTATACATAGCTGCTGCTATGCCCGTGGCGTAACCATGTGTCTTAACAGCAGCAACTGCAGCAACTAAAAAGGAGACACTTTGTTTAGGTCTCTCTCTAAAACCCTAAACCCTAATTATACAAACCCTAAACCCTAATTTTCTGCTGCTGCATGCAGCGAAGCCCCAATTGTTCCTCCATGTATTGAATAACAGAAATTAACCGCTTTGTGTTTGCGGCATGCGCTGCAGCAGCAGCAGTGTTTGCTGCTGCTGCGCTTGTTGTTGCTGCAGTTGCTGCTCTGCTTGCTGCTGCTGCTGCTGCTGCAGCAGCAGCAGCAGCAGCAATCATATAAACTGCGGCAGAGACTCAATGGTCTCTACTACAAACATTACTTTCTCTGCTCCCGCTGTGCAAGCCCAGACACAGCTAGCCACAGCTAGCTACAGCTAGCTACAGCTAGCTACAGCTAGCTACAACTAGCCACAACTAGCTACAGCTAGCCATAACTAGCTACAGCTAGCTAGATATAGCCACAGCTAGCTATAGCTAGCTGTGGCTAGTTAGAGAGAGCTACAGCTAGCTACCGCTAGCTCTACAGCCAGCTACGGATAGCTCCATGCAGGTAGAGCTAGCCAACGCTAGTCATGGTTGGCTGCAGCTAGCTGTAGCTAGCTGTAGCTAGCTGTAGCTAGCTGTAGCTAGCTGTAGCTAGCTGTGCTGGGTAAGGTGAGCTGAGAAGAGAACAAAAAAAGGGCGAGGGGACAAGAAGCCCCAAAAGAGACTGCATGCAAATTTGCATGCATGCAGCACATCTCCTAGCCAATAGGCATTATTGCTTTGCTGCTGGTGCTGCTGCTGTTGCGGTAGCAGCACCAGCACTTGCTGCTGCTACTGCAGCAGCAACAACAGCAGCAGCAACACTTGCTGCTGCTGCGCCTAACACCAACACTGTGTAAAAAAAGAAACCTTACTAAACACCTACCAACGGGAGGCGTTACGGGCCTGCTGCTGCTGCTGCTGCTGCTGCTGCTGTTGCTGCTGCTGCTGCTGCTCGCTCAGCAACAAAACCCATAAGACACTACTAAATCCTAAGCACTAGCTGCAGCAGCAGCAGCAGCAGCAACAGAGCGCAGCCGCTGCACCAGCAATACCCGCAGATGAGATAGCAAGCGACTATGCTGCTGCTCTCCTCCGCAGCACCGCTGCTGCTGCTGCTGTTGCTGCTGCTGCTCACGCTGCCAGACCTCCACCAGCGCGAGGGACATACACAAGACTTGACGAAGCGCCTGCTGCTGCTCTGTGCATGCGCCCCTTGGCTGTTGCATTGATGCTACCTGCTGCAGAATATGCGCCAGCAGCACACGAAGCCGCAGCAAGGGACTTGCTGCTGCTGTTGCTGCTGCTGTTGCTTTTGCTGCTGTTTTTGCTGCTGCTGTTCGTGCGGTGTATGCAGCTTGAAGAGCAGCAGCCCGTTTAAGTATTGGCTGCCACAGCAGCAGCAGCAAATCGGGAGCAGCAGCAGCAGGTCGATCTTGCTGCTGCTGCTGCTGTGGCTGCAGCCGCTGCAGCACCGCATGCACTTTAGGGGCAGCTTTCCCCTTAACCCATGCGTAGCAGCAGCAGCACTTCCTATCCTTGGATTCTGCTGCTGCTGCTGCTGCAATGCTGCTCTCTACTAGCAGCAGCAGTTTGTCTCGCGCGTCTGCTGCTGCTGTTGCTGCTGCTGCTGTTGCTGCTGCAAAATCTGCTGCTGCAGGTGCTGCTGCTGCTGCTGCTGCTGTTGCTGCTCTTATTGATGCGCAACGACGCCTTTTCAATCTCGCTGCCTCCTCAGCTTGCTGCTGCTGCAGAATTTGCTGCTGCTGCTGTTGCTTCTGAGTCTGCTGCTGCTGCTGCTGCTGTGATTGTCGCCGCTGCTTCCGCAACAGCTGCTGGCGCAGCAACTGCTGGTGCTTCTCATCACCAAGCTGCTGCTGCTGCTGCTGTTTCTGTTGCTGTACTTGCTGCTTCTTCTGCTGCATTGGCTGCCGCAACACAGGTAGCTGCTGCTGCTGATTCTCTTGCTGCAGCTGCAGGGGCAGCAGCACCTCACCCTCCCCAATCGGCTGCTGCTGCTGCTGCTGCTCTTGCTGCAGCGGCAGCACAAACTCATCCTCTAGCTGCTGCTGCAGCAGCTCTTGCTGCTGCGCCTCATGCGTCTGCTCCCGCAGCATGTCTTGCTGCAGCGGCAGCAGCAGCTCATCCTCAAGTTGCTGCTGCTGCTGCTCCTGCTGCAGCGGCAGTAGCAGCTCGTCCTCAAGCTGCTGCTGCAGCTGCTCTTCCTGCTGCTGAGTCTTCTGTAACTCTTCCTGCTGCAGCGGCAGCAGCAGCTCGTCCTCCAGTTGCTGCTGTGTTAGCTGTTCTTTAGCTTGCTGCTGCTGCTGTTGTTGCTGCTGCTGTTGCTGCTGGACCATTGAATTATCCTCTCCTTCCCGCTGCAGCAATTCATCTTGTTGTTGCTGCTGCTGCTCATTTTGCTGTTGTTGTTGTTGCTGCTGCTGCTGCGGCGGCGGCGGCGCCACTGGCCTGTCCGTCAGCATCTGTTCGTCTTCCCGCTGCTGCTGCTGCTGCTGCTGCGTTTCTTGCAGCAGCTGCTGCTCCAGCGCCGCGTTCTGTTGTTGCTGCTGGCCCTGCTGTTGTCTTTCCTGCTGCAGCTGCTCCTCTTGCTGCTGCTGCTGCTCGTTCTGCAGAGGCGACAGCAACTCGTCCTCGAGCTGCTGCTGCAGCTGTCTTTGTTGCTCGTGTTGCTGCTTCTCCTGCTGCACGCCTTGCTGCTGCTGCTGCACCTGCTGCTCCTGTTGCTCCTGCGGTAGCGATGACACAAGAACGTCCATCAGCTGCTGCTGCTGCTGCTGCTGCTGCTGCTGCTCACTTTGCTGCTGCCCCTCCTCCTGCTGCAAAGAGGATAAAAGCTCGTCCTCCAGCTGCTGCTGTTGTTGCTGCTGCTGATCTTGCTGCTGCTCCTGATCCGGCAGCCGCTTCTGACCTTGCTGCTGCTGCTGCTGACCCTTCTGCTGCTGCTGCTGCTGCTCCTGCTGAAAGGGTGACAGAAACTCGTCCTCCAGTTGTTGCTGCGACTGTTGCTGCTGCAGCTGCTGCTTCTGCTGCTGCTCATGTTGCTGGTGCTTCTCTTCCTTCATTAGAGGAGGCAGCAACCCACCCTGCTGTTGCTGCTGCTGCAGCAGTTGCTGCAGCTGCTGCTTCTGCTGCTGCTCCCACTGCTGCTTCTCTGCCTTAAGTACGGGAGACGGCAAGCCAAAATCCAGCAGCTGTTGCTGCTGCTGCTGCTGCAAATGCTGCTGCAGCAGTTGCTTCTGTTGCTGCTCATCTTGCTGCTGCTTCTCTGCCTTCAACACAGGGGACGGCAAGCCAAAATCCATTTGCTGCTGCTGCTGCTGTTGCTGCTGCAGCTGCTGCATCGGCTGCTTCGTATCTTGCTGCTGTCCCTCCTCCTTCTGCAGGGTTGAGAACAAATCATCCTCCAGCTGCTGCTGCTGCTGCTGCCCTTCCGGCTGCTGCTGCTGCTGCCCTTCCGGCTGCTGCTGCTGCTGCTGCTGCTCACATTGTTGCATCTCCTCCTGCTCTAGAGAAGACAGCAACTCATCCTCTAGCTGCTGCTGTTGCTGCTGCTGCTGCTCCTGGTGGTCGTTTTGCTGCTGCTCTGCCTCCTGCGGCAACATGCCCTCGAGCTGCTGCTGCAGCTGTTGCTGATGATCTTCCTGCTGCAGTTGCTGCTGCACCTGCAGCCCGTCTTCTGTCCTCTGCTGCAGGCCCTCTCCTCCATTTTGCTGCTGCTGCTGCTGCTGCTGTTGCTGCTGCTGCTGCCCTTTGGGAATGTTCTCCCCAAAGATATCTTCATCTAAACTCTCGACAGACAGCTGAGGATATCCACCCTTCTCTGCTGCTGCTGCTGCTGCGCTGCTGCTGCTGCTGCTGCTGCAGCTGTTGCTAGCGTAGTCGGGAGTTGCGGCCCCGAAAGCGGCGGAAGTATCAGCAGCATCTGCTGCAGCAGCAGCAGCAGGACAAGACAGCTGCTCTTGTTGCTGCTCTTGCTGCTCTTGCTGCTGCCCTTGCTGCCTCTGCCTCTGCTGCTGCTGCCTTTGCTGCTGCCATGCTGTTAGCTGCCTGATTTGTCTTGCATCAGCAGCAGCAAGACGTTTTAATCTCTTAACATCTTCTCTTTCCTGCTGCAGCAGCAGCAGCGTAGATGCAACAAGTTGCTGCTGCTCTTCTTCTGCTTCTGCTGCTTGCTGCAGTTCGTTCTTAAGTCTTTGCTGCTGCTGCTGCGATAGTTCAAGGAGATGCTCCCTCTGCTGCACCTCTGCTTCTGTTTGCTGCAGCTGCTGCTGCAGCATTAATATTTGCTGCTGCAGCATACCTATCTGCTGCTCCTGCTGCTGCAGCGCCTGCTGCTTTATCTCTAAGGCAGCAACTAGTCTCCTGTTCTCCTCCCCCCATGAATCAAATCCCTGCAGCTGCTGCTGCAGCAGCTGCTGCCTTAATGCATCACAACCCTTGCATGCACTCCTGCTGCTGCATGTGCTGCTATTGCTGCTGCTACTGCTGTTGCTGCTGTTGTTCATGTTGCTGTTGCTGCTGCTGCTGCTAGGTTGATCCAACAAGGTCTTACTGCCCTCTAAAACACCCAGATGGGGCCCCTTGGGGGGCCCCTGCTGCTGCTGCTCCGCAGCAGCAGCAGCATTAGTGGGGGGCCCCTCTATCTGCTGGTTCTGCGGAGCTGCTGCTGCTGCAGTGCAAGGGGCCCCTTGATCAACTATCCACGGAACTCCCTGTTGCTCCTGCTGCTGTTCTTGCTGCACCTCCACATGCTGCTGCAGTTGCTGCTGCTGCTGCTGCTGCATGGTTAGCTGCTGTTTTGACTTGGTGCACAGAGGTACAGGAGATTTCTGCTGCTGCTGCTGCTGGGGGGCCCCCAAGGGTTCATCCGGGGGCCCCTCTATCTCTAAGAAGGAGCAAAGACTGTCCTCTAATTCTTGCAGTGTATCCTCACATACACCATCTCTATCCTCAGGTGTATGCGCAGCCCTGCTGCTGCTGCTGCTGCTGCCGGTAGGGGGGCCCACACTTTGTACCTTGCTAATGCTGGTGCTGTTGCTGCTTCCCCATGCACTCGTAGAAGGGGGGGCCCCAGGAAAAGCAGAAGCCTCATGAGGGGGCCCCTCAAAGGAAGAGGGGGGCCCCTCATCAGCTGGTAAACAAGGGGGAACCCATGATGCCTGCTGCTGCTGCTGCTGCTGCTGTTGCGGAAGCCTGGGAGGTCGACCTCGCCGCTTCTTGGGTTGACTGTCCTCCTCCTGCTGCTGTAGCTGCTGCTGCTGCTGCTGCTGAGGTTTGCGGCGCCGCCTGCTAGCAGCAGGAAGCGCAGCAGCTGCAGCTCCTTGTTGCAGCTGCTGCACATCGGTCACTGCAGCAGAAACAGCAGCACCAGCAGCGGGCTTCCCTGCTCCTGTGGGGCCCCAGCCTTGCTGCTTTGGCTGCTTCTGTTGCTGCTTCTGCTGCTGCTGCTGACGATCTGTTGCTGCTGCTGCTGCAGACGCACCTTCCCCAGCAGCAACCTGTGATATGAAGGTAAGCATTTGGTCCCAGCAGAGGCCCCCCATAGGGGCCCCTCCGGGGGCCCCCTGGGTCTCAGGTGGTGCCTTGTGGGCCCCCCTTGAGGGGGCCCCAGGGTTGCATGCACCCTCAGACCCATCCGGTAATAAACGCACTGTAGGGGAGGGCCCGGGGGCCCCCCTAGCATCGGCGCTAAGCTGCTGCGGCGAAGGAGGTTGTGGGTACACTAGAGCTGGACACATGGCTACAGACTGCTGCTGCTGCAGCAGCAGCCGCTGCTGCTGCTGCTGCTGCTGCTGCTGCTGCTGCTGTGGGGACTACGCTAGAGGGAGTCTTGACTGACTCCATCATCAATAATGCAGATTAGCAGCAGCAAATGATTCCCCTGCTGCTCCTGCTCGGCTATTGCTGGTGTCCTCTTGCTGTTGGTGCCGCCACGTAGCTGCTGCTGCTGCTGCTGCAGCAGCAGCAACAGCAGCACAGCCCGCGTGCCCTGACTCCTTGGTTTCCCCCCTGCACGATGCGTACTTTGCGTTAAAAATTTGAATTCGGAGGAAAATAAGGATGATATAAACCCTCCTAGGGTTTAGGGTTTAGGGTTTAGGGTTTAGGGTTTAGGGTGAAGATAGTGTTTGGTGTTTTAATAGATGAAGGGTGGGGAGAATAAACCGCCAGCCTTTCGATGCCTTTTTCCTTGCAGCATAGAGAGGTGTAAATCCTCAAATTATGGTTTAGGGTTTAGGGTTTAGGGTCTAGGGTATGCCGCTGCAACGAACAGGCGGCGCAGCAACAGCAAAAGCCCCATCATTCTTGCTGCATGCAGCAGCAGCAGCAGCCACAGCAGCAGGTAATGGTGGTGTTGTTAGTCTCTATCATCATTTTATACTCTTTAATAAATTAGTTGTTTATAAATAAACTTTGTTTATATTAATAGAAAAGACCCCAAAAGGAGCAAGTATTTCCCGCTCAGCAGCAGCAACAGCTGCAGCAGCAGCAGCAGCAGCAAGTAGCTCTGCAGCAGCAGCAACAGCAACAGCAGCAGCAGAAACGATAGAACTCCAGCTCTTATAAGGCCTTCTTTGTTGGACCCTAGCAGCAGCTCATTAGCACACGTTGCTTTTGCTGCAGCAATTGCAGCAGGAAAATAGCAGCAGCAAAACAGCAGCACAAACAACAGCAGCAGCAACAGCAACAGCAGCAGCAGCAGCAGCAGCAGCAGCAGAGGCAACACCGTGACGATGCGGCTCTCATTCCCCATGTTAGACCGAAGGAAGTCAAGTTGGACATACAAGTTAGTGCAAACCCTAAACCCTAAACCCTAATTTATACGGTATCTGTTACCATTAATTGTTTAAGGGCTCAATTACACATACAGTCCCGTACATGCATGCATGCCCTTCTTACCACAAGCAGCAACAAGAGCAGCAGCAGCAACGACAGCAGCAGATCAGATATTGTGTTATTTCCTGCTGCTGCTGCTGCTGCAGGTTACAGAAGTACCGTGGGGGCCCCCGTTGGAGCTTACCACGCTTTATGGTGGGGGGCCCCTATTTTGGTCTTAAATTTAGGAGGCCCCCCTATTTAACTAAATGGGGAATGCCGCAGCTAACTAGGAGCAGCAGCAGCAGCAGGAACAGCAGCAGCAGCAGCAGCAGCAGCAGCGGCAGCAAATACTGTGATATGATGAGGCTACATCTACTAACAGGCAAATATGCTGCTGTTAGTAGCCCGCACTCTGGTGGGGTAGGACTAGGCCCAGGGGCCTAAACCCTAATTTAGGGTTTAGGGTTTATGGGTACAGGAGGTGAGATACCTATAAACCCTAATTTAGGGTTTAGGGTTTATGCTCCCAGTATATGGTGTACCTATAAACCCTCATTTTAGGGTTTCAAGGGTTTATTAGCCAGATGCTTATAAACCCTTATGCGAGGGTTTAGGGTTTAGGGTTTATAGGCTCAACCCTAACCCTATAAACCCTAATATGGGGTTTATAAACACTTAAAACCCTAAACCCTTCAAGTGCCAAACTGAGGGTTTAGGGTTTGTTCTTAGGCCCGAGACCCTAAACCCTTCCTCTAGGGTTTAGGGTTTGCCTCCTTTTTTTTTGTCTCCTCCTATTAAAGGAACATTTCCCTTTATACCTATTTTATGCATTATTTGTTTATATAATTAATTACCTATTTATTTATTTATTTAATTTACTTAGTTATTTATCTAATAATAATTTACTAAATAATAAGTACTATATAAATTTAATTCCCTAATAATAATTTATTCCTTTATACCTAATAATTAATTATTAATTAATAATTATAGCCCCCTGAAACCCTAAACCCTAAACCCTCGTGACAACGCTAAACCCTAAACCCTCGCGTCACTCAACCCCAAAATACCGTCCAGAATTCAAGAGTTCATGGCGCCCTAAGAGAACAACCAGCTGAGGGCCCTGGGGGCCCCCCTACGGAACCCCTAGGGGCCCCCCTTCCTTCCTATAGGGGCCCTAAGGGGCCCCCCTTCCTTCCTACAGGGCCCCTAGGGGGGCCCCCCCACCTTCCTACATATAAAAGACCCCTAAGGGGCCTACATACAAGACCCCTATAGGGGGCCCCTATAAGACCCCTCTCGACCTAGGGGGCACCTATAAGACCCATACAGGACCCAGGACCCCTACCTAGGGGGGGCCCCGATCTGGACCCCTACCTAGTGGGACCCTAGGGGCCCCCCAGGGTTGCAGGCAGCAGGGGGCCCCCAAACAACACCGAGGGGGCCCCCCACCTCCCCTCCCCTCAGAGCTGCCTAAGAAGCCAAACTACTTTTGCCTGGGCACCAACCAAAACGGCATGCATGCATGCAAAGGGGAGCCCCACGGGGGGCCCCCTCTGCATGCAGCAGCAAACAACAACACCCCTTACCACCCCCCTACCGTGTCTCTCCCCCTTCTGTTTGTTCTACTGCGGGGGGGGCCCCACCACCTATAAGGGTAGGTGGGGGCCCCTAGGAGGGCCCCCAGATGCGGGGGGCCCTTGTACCCTAGGGGCCCTCTTGACGAGTGCACTGATTAATGCACTTAGCGTACCCATGACCTTATAAGCAGGCGTTGCCTCCTTTTGACTGCTGAATAAGGGGGGGGCCCCCTTAAAGGGAGGGAAGTAAAAAGACGGTGGGCCCCTATGAGGCCCTCCGTCCCTTTAACCTCCCTCCCCTTAAGGGAGGGGAAGGGGGCCCCCCCCCCACCCCCACCTCCCATAGGGAGAGAGGTAAGGGGCCCCCCTTAGTACCCTTTTTTTATTGGGCATATTTTTGTGACCATTCACGAGCTGTCTGGTCATAACGTGCTCTATCTGTCTTATAAATATGCGCTACTTCTGGTACTAGAGGGTCATCTGTAAGAAAAAAAAAAAAAAAAAAAAAAAACCAAAA